ACAATCTCATAAAACTCTTGCAGCAATAGAAAATAAAAATGGAAGGAACACTTCCCTACTCATTTTATCAGGCCAGCATAACGTTGATATAAAACTTCTCAAAGACATTACAAGAAAGGAAAATAACAGACCAATCTTTCTCACAGACATAGATGCAATCCCTGAACACTTATTATTGGAGTTTTGCTAGTGCACAGGACGTGGAAAACCAGTACAAGAAATGTCACTCCCACCCTAACAATGAGGAAAAGTGGTATAATCTACAAAATCATAACATTTGAACCCATCAGAAAACTGAAGTTGTAAGACAATCAAGTGAACTAAATTCCAAAGAGTAACAAGCCTCTCCAAGCAGAAATGGGACTTCAAACTATTTCACCTTTGGCAGAGCACAGGAGGTAACGGAAGCTATCACACGAGTGAGTAAGAAGAAATCAGCTAAAATTTTAACTGTTACAGACTAGATGTGGGCTAGCATAACGGTTTAGAATAACCGGGAGCTCAAAACACGAGGGGAATTCAAACTCACTCACATGCTCTTCTCCATGGGTCTCCACCAAGTGCCCACACAAAAGACTAGGGGCAGAGCAGGGAACCGCAGAGAGCGCCTTTCTGTGGCACAGGTATGCAAGAAGGATAGGCCACTGCAGGACAAGCATAAAATCATGCCACCTTGCCCGAACTCTCACGTGAGGAAAGGGCCTTAAACCTCTGGGGGAGGGTTCAGAAACCATCCCACTCTGAAGACAAGGCAATAATTCATTGCTTCTAGGGATGAGACAGATGCAAAAACCCTCTTCCTCATGAGAAAGTAAGAAAACTCTCTTGGGCCCAGGATCCTACACCAGTGCAAAGCAGAGGTAAACCAGCACTAGTGGAAAGGCAGCAATCTCTCCTTCGCCCAATAATTGCCACAGATACAAGGCAGTGTGTCTGCAAAAGCGAGAAGAGGACAGAACACTGAGCAAGACTCACCCCAAGGCACCTGGACTGAGACGGGAGGAGGAGAAAAGAGAAGTCCTGCACCTACCATGAGCTTGGGACTGAGTAACAAACACCAGACTACACTGAGGGAGGGAAAAGAGCATGAAGAGAGACTTCCCACAGCAGGCAGAGACTGATGAAGGCTGAGGATGTAGCAGAAACAGTGAGAAGACCCCTCAGTACCCCAGGACCCATTCTAAGCATAAAATCACAGCAGCCCACTGAATTTGAGGCCTGTGGTATGCTGAAGCTAACGAGAGTAATAACAGAACTCAAACCTAGCTTGACTCCTGGCTGTATGGACTGAAGCCTCCACAGTCAGTAAAGATAGAGAACAATTACACAAAATTATCAATCTACGTGACTTAATTAACATTTATAAAACAGCAATAGCAGAATGTTCATGCTTTTCAAGTGCACAGCGAACATTCAACAAGATAGAATTTATTCTGAGCCATAAAACAAACTTCAACAAATTTAAAAGAATTGAAATTATACAAATAATGTTCCTGACCATAATGGAAATGAACTAGAAATCAATCAGAGAAAGGTATCAGTAAAATCCCCCAAAGTTTGAAAACTAAACAACCTATTTCTAAATAAGTCATAGGTCAATGATAAAGTCACAGGAGAAATTATCTTAAATTTTGAACTGAGTGAAAATGACAATAGAATATGTTAGAATTCATGGGACCCAGCTAAAGCAGTACATAGAGGAAAATTGTAGCTTTATATTAGAAGAGAATAAAAGTCTCAAATCAATAATCTAAGTTTCCACCTAAGTGACTAGAAAAAAATGTAAATTAAATTCAAAGCAAGCAGAGGGAAGTAATAAAGAATAAAATCAGAGAGATTGAAAACAGAAAAATAATAAAGAAAATCAAGGAAAACAAGAGATAGATCTTTGAAAAGATAATAAAATTGATAACTCTCTAGCCAGACTAATCAAGAAAAAAAGATAAAACACACACTATAATATCAGAAATGAAAGAGGGGCTATCACTAAAAATTCGGCAGACATTGAAAGGAAAATAAGGGAATAATATCAATAACTTTACGCCAATAAATTTGATAATGCAGATTAACTGCAACAATTTCTTGAAACATAAAAACTACCAAAGCTTATACAAGAGGAAACAGATAACCTAAATAGCCCTACATATATTTTAAAAGTTTAAAATTTTATAAAAAATTTTCCCATAAAGAAAACTCCAGGCCTCAATGACTCTACTGGAGATTCTACCAAACACTGAAAGAGGAAATACTATTAATTCTTCACAATAACTCCAGAAACTAGGAGAGGATGGAATACTTCCCAACTAATTTAATGAGATCAGTATTATCTGATGTCAGAACCAGACAAAGATGTTAAAAAAAAAAAAAGCTACAAACCACTATCTTTCATGAATATAGTCACAAAATCTTCAACAAAATATTAGCAAAATAAATTAAGAAATATATGAAAAGGATGATGCATCATAACCAAGAGAAATTTGTTTCAGGAATGCAAAATTGATTCAACATTCAAAACCAATCATTATTATTCACCATATCAACATATTAAAAAGAAAAATCACATGAGCATTTCTATAGATACAAAATAAGTATTCACCAAAATTCAACATCCATTCATAATAGAAGTTTTAGAAAACCAAGAATAGAAGAGAGCTTCCTTAACCTAATAAAAAGCATCTATACAACATTGTACTGGAAGCACTAGCCAGTGCAACAAGGCAAGGAAAAGAAATTAAAAGGCATACAGATTGGAAAGGAAGAAGTAAAACTGTCTTTCTTTGCATATGACACATATACTTGGAAAATCCTAAGCAATCTACAAAAATGGTACTATAATAAGTTTAGCAAGGTTGCAGGATATATAGTAAATATACAAATGTCAATTGTATTACTCTATACTAACAACAAACAATTGGAAATTGAAATGAGAAAAAAAATAATTTATGATAGCATCAAAAACCATGAAATACTCAGGGGAAAATCTTAACAAAATATGTGCAAGATTTCTATACTGAAACTATAACACACTGACAAGAGAAAATAAAAAAGATATAAATAAATAGAGAGATCAAGTGTGTTCATGAGGCAGAAAATTAAACATTGTTAAGATGTCAATTCTCCCCAAATTGATCTTTAGAGTAAACATAATCCCAATTCAAGTTCCAGCAAGCTTTTTAATACTAATTTACAAAATGACTCTAAAATTTACATAGAAAAGCAAAGGACCTAGAATAACCAAAACAATTTTGAAAAAGAGGAACAAAGTTGGAAAAGTTACAAAAGTTACAAAAATCAAAACAGTATAGTATTGGCATAGTAACAGACGAATAGATCAATGGAACATTACAGAAAGCCAGAAATAGTTGTGTGTGTGTGTGTGTGTGTGTGTACTAAATCAATTTTCAACAAACGTGCCAAGGAAATTAGTGGAGAAAGGATAGTTTTGTCGACAAATCGGGACTAGAAATAGGTATGGTACTGGAAATCCATATGCAAAAAAAAAAAAAGCCTTATGTTGCATCATATACAAAAATTAATTCAAAATGCATCACAGATCTAAATGTAAAAGCTAAAACAATAAAACTTCTAGAACAAAACATAAGAGAAACCTTTTGAGACCTTAGGTTAGTCAAAGATTCTTAGGTATGGCACAAAAAGCACAAACCATAAAAGAAGAAATTGATAAAAATGTATGTCATCAAAATTAAAAACTTTTGTCCTTTGAAATACCCAGAAATGAAAAGATAAGCCACAGACGGGAAGAAAATACTTGCAAGATGTATATCTGATAAAAGACTTTATAAAGAATACTTACCATTCAACAATAAGAACAAACAAGACAATTTTTTTTAACGGGCAAAAGTTCTGAACAGACCACTTCACCAGAGAAGATGTAAACACATGATAAGATGGTCAATATCTTTAGTCATTAGGGAAATGCAATTAAAGCCACAATAGAATATCATTACACTCCTACCAGAGGAGTGTAATTAATAAATAAAAATTAATTAATAAAAAACTGACATCAAGGACTAGCAAGGATGCAGAATAACTGGAACTCGCATAGTTGCTGGTGGAAATGCACAACGACACAGCCACTTGGAAAGTCTGGCAGTTTCTTACAGAATTAAACATACACTTACCATACAATTCAGCAATTCCACTCCTAGGTATTTACTCAAGAGAAAAGAAAAGAAATATTCAAACAAAAACCTATACCAGAATATATATATGAGTTTTGCTCATAATCTCTATAACCGGAAACAACGCATAACCCTACAATGGAAAACGCCCAGCAACCAATGAATGGATACACAAATCATAGTACATCCAAGCAATGAAATATTACTCAGCAATAAAAAGGAACAGAACTACTGAAATACCAACGACATGGACGAGTCTCAAAAGCAGCATTATGCAAAATGACAGAAACCTGGCACAAAAGTTTACATAATGTATGATTCCATTTATATGACATTCACAAAAGGGCAAAGATCCCCTGATGACTCGCTGCATCCAAAGAACCTAGCACATTAGAAAACACTCAATAAATGCCGGATGGACAGCTAGAGGGGGAATTACTGCAGGGAGGGCAGAGGGCAAGAAGGTGACAGAATGATGCGAAAGCAAAAAGGCAGCTGGGAGTCCAAACCCACGCGCAGGACGGAAACAGTGAGGGCAGGCGTGGTCCAGCCTACCTCCACTGATTTCAGCAGCTTAAAAAATTAGACCCTGTAAAGGACTACGATATGAATGAATAGCCCCAGCGTGTCTCTGGCCTGAAGAAGCGTGATGCGCCCCACCCGTCTTTAGAAATCGACTGCCCCCCGCGCCAGGCTGAGCAAGTGGGGCTCACACCCAGAAGGGGGGGGGTCTTTCCGTGCACAGGAGCGGAGCCGGAGGCCAGAGGCGGGCTCCGGCTTAGGCCAGCGGGGGCCGGAGCAGACGGGGCGTCGCCGCGGGCCCGCCTGGCCCCATCCCTCCCCCTCGGCCTCACTCACCCATGCTTGCCGTTCCAGCTGAGCGTACAGATGGGAGCCCTTGAGCTTCTGGACTATCTGGGCAATAACGAGAGACAGATCCGACTCCTCCTGCAACATTTCCCCTGCCCCAACCCGCCGAGCCGCGGGGACAGGCCGCTGGCGCGGAGAGAACGGGCTACGAGGTCCCACTCGGGGCCACTGACACTTCTCCGGGACCTTATGACGCTAGGACTCCTCCAGCGCGTTACTAGGCAACAGCCAGGCCGTGTGTCCGTCCTGCTCCGGTTCCCCCCGGCGCGTGAAAGTCCCAGCACCTGCGTTCCGCCAGCGGAAGACGACCTGCGGGCGGGAGCTTTTTCATTCCATTGTTCCTGTTTAGTCTCTGATTGAAACAGCGCCTCTGATGCACAAGGGGAACTCAGAGAGTTGTGCATTTTTGTGTTTTATTATAAAGGATCGTTCCTCTTCCGCCTTAAAAATCTCTGCAGGAACAGGGCAATGACAAGGCAAATTACTCCCAAGAATTATCAGGCTCCGAAACTAGCTGTGTGAACTTGGGCGAGGTGCTTAAATTCAGAACTCAGTTTCCGTCTCTAAAATAATACCCAGTTCACAAGATGTTGTGATGATTAGCTGAGGTAACAGTTGTGAGGGTGCCTAGTACTGTGTGTAGCATTCCATTTTATTTCCATTTCTCCTATTTTTATTCTCTGGGGTTTTATGACAGGAATAAATAGACAAGGTCTTCTCATCTAACCGCTAGGACTTAACCAAGAAGCATTTATTGATAGGTTTTCTCCGAAGAATTGACAATTCAAGGATGATTAAGGCATTGTCCCAGGCTTCAAGGAATGTACCATCCAGATTCCTCTTCTTCCATGTATTCAGTCATTTATGCATAATTCATTCAGCTTTCAACTTATTGAGCATTTACATACTGGAAAATGTGTGGGCACAGAGGTAAATAAAACATGGTTCTTGCTCTCAAGGAAACATATCACAGATTTTTAGGAGAACTAGAAGTAACCAATTTAATTAACTGAATGGCATTCCCAAAGGCAACTAGAAAAAGGCCTATGGAATAATACACATGTCAGAATAACCCCACCAAAATTATCAAGAATTAATTTCAAATGTGTGTGTGCATACACTTTAAGCAAACAAAAGTAGGATTCCAAGATTGCTGCAAAAACTACTCTAGCCTAACTACATTAAACTTGAATGTGCTTAGCCATCACAAGAGTTCTGCTTCTACAGGCTTCTGGTAAGATCTGCTAATCTGCATTTCTGGCAAGCTCCCGGGTGATTGTGACCTGGTGATCCAAGGACTGCATTCTGAAAAGCAAAGGACTAGAGCAGGTAAACAATAGAAAGTCAAAGGGCCTGGCCCTGTGACATCTATGCACAACACCCTGGCATTCATAACACCACTGTACACAACGTTGTGATGGTAGATACAGATTCCAAGTAACCCATTTGGTCAGGTTTGTTTATGAAAACAACTTGGAAAAGAGCTAGGCAGGAAAAAAACAAAATACTTAAAGGCAATTAATGGCAGGCTCTACAAAACATGTAGTTTCTCTACAAAACATTCTCCCACAACTCAGAATTTCTCAAACTTGTGGATGAATAAATCTTGTCAACTCTTTGCAATCTCTGCATTCCAATGTCCCACCCATCCATGAATCTCTGAAAGCCTCACTTTGAACAAAAAAAGAAAACTACGGAGACAGTTCTTTTGAGATTGAAAGTGGTGAGGTGATTAATAATAGATAAGGATGATTAGGTTGAGAAGGGTCATAAAGCAAAGAGGAGAAAAAAGATGGAACTGTGGAGCAGAAGAAAAGACATGGTGCCTGGAGTCAGAAAACAGCCTAGCCTCCTTCCTGCTATGTACCCTTGGATCGCCTGAGTCCCTTCCCCCATCAGAGTTTCAGCTTTCTCTTCTGTAACAAGACAGTAAAAATACCCACCTGAGGGGATATTATGACAAATGTACCTAGTATTAAAATATCAATAAATATTAATAAATTAAAGATTCAAAGTGTGATACATAAATAAGAATAATGTCTGGTACTATTGACAAGGGAATAGAAAATAGCTAAATAAATGTGGCAACATATGTAAAAGTGCCCAGCACAATTCTTTGTACAGATAGAGGCTTTAAAAAGTTTTTTTTTAACTACAGAACAATTTGCAGTCTTAAAGCAACAACTAAGAAGTTTGGATTTGATTCTGAAGGCATATGCCCAAGCAAAAAAAAATCTTAATCCTAAACATTAAAAATTTGTTTCTTACATACACAGAAGCAGATGTGTTGCACTATAATACAATTCTAAAATGCCCTCTGTTCTCTTTTCCCGATTCAATTTAGCAAAACTTTTTGGAACACCTGCTCTGTGCTAGGAATGGCAAGGAAAACAAAGATAACTAAGAAATTGTCCTTTCTCTCAAGGAATTCTCACTCCCAAAGAGATGGTGAGGCCAGTACACAAAGAGCTGTAATGGTAGACAGACCCTTTTAGTCTCTCACCTGTGCAGCTGGAAATTTTATTCCTTAAAAGTCATTGTCCCATAAGAAACAGAAGGTGCAGATTCTTATCACCATCCCACAAGGGAAAATTTTGCCTTGGAAATCCTTACTCTACCCAGAGTGGGTTGGGATTGGGAAAACACTCTATTTCTGACATAGAGTGAACCATGACCCAGCCTGGATGATAAATAGCAAAAGGGATCCAATCTCATCTGAGCAATTAAAACTATATAAACAGAGACAAAAGTAAAATAGAAGCAGAGAGAAGTCTTCTCAAAATTCCCCCCAATTGAGAACAAAGCCACTTCTGGGCCAACATGAGTAAGGCTCTGGGCCCGATTCTGCCTTTCTCAGATCTGCTCTGCTTTGATCTATTTCACATATAATGTTGTGTTGGATTTCACTGTGGGTGGGGGGTAGGGGGGATACATTTGAAAAACACTGACTAGTGGCCTCACATGAGCAGGGATGTGGGCCACATCCAAAACACCCTGTGAGCCTACACAAAAATGAGGTACACTTCAGAGTCCGCTGGAACGTGCTCTTACTTTATTCACATGAGCCTGGCTTCCATAAACTCTACAGTCTACAAAGAAAAGTGTTTTCAGCTTGCTTTAGAAGGAAATACTGCTATTAGCATGCTGTGTCTGCAAAATAGGCTGAACTGTGTGTTGTCAAGAAATTGCTTAAAGTAAATAAAAATCATTATGTGTGGTGTGTGTATCACGAATATCACAGGCCTCACTGTCTTCAAGAGCAAATGAGCTCATGGTGATATCAATTACCCGACACTGGATAGTTAACCGCCACATATTGGAACAGGACCTCTTCAAAGTCTCCTCCTGTTACTTCTGGGAGTCCTCAGGAAGTGGCACATGTGTGCTTAGGAAAAAGTCTGCTTGTGATCTGCTCTGCCTGCCTCAGCGATCTCTAATGCCCCAAAGCCACTGTCCAGGGTGCTGCTTCTTGGTGCTCCCAAAGCTGCAAAAACCCAGAGGTGCTTAAATCCCAAGGCTCACAAAAGCCCTCACGAACAAAGCCCCTTCTTGTTCTGCTTGCCACCTCGTTTTACAAAAGTGGTAATACCACATTTCTGAGTCCAAGCTGAGTGTTAGACCATGCTGTCCTCCACTTCCCCATCTTTCAAGCCTCTGGCCTCAGGCAAGGGTGTGTGAACGGGGAGGATTGAGCTATTGGCTCCGTCAACAATCTCAGGGATTGTGTTGACCTCATGTAAAATATAAAACTCACAGGAAAAAAATGCAAATAACAGTGGTTTGAATCATAGGATATTTATTATTACCAGCAAGTCTGGAGGAGTGTACCAAGGTTGGTTTAATGTCTCAACAACATCATCAAAAATCTAAACTCTTTTCTTCTTTTCCATTCTGCCATCCTTAACATGTTGGCTTTCTCATCCAGCTTAATGCCTCAGTCTCAAGGTGGCTGCTGCAGTTCCAGATACCATATTCTCCAACCTCTGCCTCGAGGCAAGCTGGAAGGAGACAAAATAAAAGAGTTCTCAATAACTGTGTATGTCTCTCTTTTTTGAGGAAAGACTATTGTTCCAAGAAGCCACCAAGAAATCTTCCCATGCATCTTATTGACTGAAGCTGTGTCCCATGACCACCTCTAGCCACAAGAAAGTCTGGCAAGAAATGATCTGGTATTTTATCCTCAATCCTGGGAGAAAGATGAAAGAGAAGAATGGCTTATTGATTCTACTGTATTGTCCAAAATTACTTCAGTGTGAGATTGGTACTGTGATATGAACACTTGTAAGTGAATATCGTAGAGTGATATTTGAGCCAATAAGACCACAAATAAATTAAAGTACTTAGAGTTAGGCAATATCCAGATCACTTATCGTTCACACAGGGTTGATTGTGTGCAGTTCAGGACCCAGAATTTAAATTATAGTACTTATCGATGTGGCATTTACTCAGTATCACAGTGACATTTTAAAAGCTAAAAACAAATAAGATTGACCCATTTGCAAAATAAAATCTATGAGTAAAAGATTATGTGACAAGAGCAGAATATTTGCAAGTGTTATTATTTAAAAAAAGACAAAAATTGGTGACTTGTGAAGAAAGCAGCTTGTTCATAAATGACTTTTGATGAAGGCTTCCCAGTATCTAGAGGTCATTCTACTGGAATTCTAGGTTATTCTCTCTGGTTGTACAAGCAGAGGTGAACATTGGAAAGAATCTATTCTCTAATACAATCCGTACTGCTTGGGGCAAAAGATGTTTACTGCTGCAAATTGATGTCCTAGTTTCTCCAGGCACCTCTTGTGGGTTTCAGGTAACACAACAGAACAGGATCTACTTGGCTCCTTTCCTCCTCAATTCTCTAATTACATCTCTGCTTTCTCATCTCCCCCTCCAAACTACACCACATGCACACACACACACACACACATACACACACACACACTTTTCCACTCCAGGGTGTCTCCTTTTTTATTGCTTTTTCCTATTTTATATGGCCTTTCCTCCATTGCCTCCTGGGAAACTTACGTTGGTTTTGGTTCCAGTTTTCATGAAGGTATGGCAACATGTACAAGGCAAGCATATATATGAGAATAAGACAGCTACAATATTAAGTGCTTGAGATCAAATTGAAGGTTGCAGTGGGGCCTGTCCCTATCCATTATGGAAGGTAAAAGTTGTCCATAGGGTTGCAGATGGAGAATTAGGATCAAGTTACGCACCTAGAAAGAATATCAAAAC